TCCTGAGTGCCAGTGGAATAAGGAATGGTAGCCCAGACCCAATAGCCCTCCCTATATATGTGCTGTAAATGTACAGGTATTTTTCATATATGTCTTGATTAATATAAAATGTAGCTAGAAACAGATCTTATGATAATGATGAACAAATTCCACATAAAGGTGCAAATCTGAGTGTAAAATAATTCTTTCTGGAACATTTTTTTCCTTCTCAAATGGTAACTGGTTTATATAAAAATTAAAATACTATGGTAAATCTGGAATGTATAGAGTTCCCTTCTAAACCTTTAATTACAGTTTTCTAAGAATTTGATGAAGCAGTGTTCCCAAGTCACTTTCTTTTTAACATGCAGAAGGCAGGCAATTCTAGGTCAAAAGATTAATTAAAGAAATAAAGATTCTTAGGAGTCCATATTTTATGTTTTAAATTTATTTGCATGTTCTCAGGTATGATAATAGCTTATTACATGAATTACTCTTCTGACTTCTTTAGCTTTCCCAAGTACGATGAGCATCTGCTTTCCTTGGGGTAGACTGAAGTTCCTGATTAAATGAATTACTAATGGTGGTCTAGAAAAAAATAGATTATAAAAGCTAACATAACTTTCTATCACCTCCTTCCTCTGCATTAAAAAACTATTATGAGTTCTGAAAATTCTCTAGTGCATATTTTGTAGTTTAAACAAATGAGTATTATACCAGTGGAACAGTTTTACTTCTTCCTTTATCCACAGTAATTCTGGGCATTATACTTTGGTAGGGACTTTGGAAATATTCTGTTAAAGATACATACACCTGCTTATAAAACCTCCCTCTAGTGAAGAAATAAAGGAGAATTTTAATAGTTATTCTACCCATTAAGAAAAAGGAGGTAGTAAATTGACATAATTATAGTTTTGAATATATTACCTTACTACAGGCTATATTTTGAATGCTTCTGTGCATTAAAAAAATCAGGTTTTCATGCCCAACTGTTACCCTTATTGATGTGCAGACAATATGTTTTATATCTGGTACTAATAATATATATATATAATATATAGTAATATATATATATTACTATAATATATATATATATATAGTAATATATATATTGCTATAATATATATATAGTAATATACATTACTATAATATATATATAGTAATATATATATATTACTATAATAT